CCAAACAAAGATTGATCAAGAATAGCTGTGAACCAAAATAAAAATATAAATGTTTTGAAAGAAAGGTTCACCACAGCATGGGATGGATAAGACCTGAGTTCCTCACTCAGAAGTAGAGGACCCAAACACATGACAAAGTACGCACAGTAAAAGCTTGAAATCCAGATCTTTAATATAAGCTGCTGTGGAACAGGCAGAGCATTGAGAATGGGGCAAATTTTTCAAAATAGAACTGCATTTTCTTTCACAAAATTTCTGGAAATTCTGTTGAAATCTGTTCTAGATTGCATGACATTAAGCAGGCATGCTCAAACACAATTCCCTACTACAATCTATTCCCATACTGAACAATTTTCACTTGAGGTCAATTTACAGTACAAACTTGTTGTGGTGCTATTCCCCTGTAACCTGTAACCTTGATAATAAGCAAATTAAGCTTCCTAATTTATTAAGATATATTAAATACGGAATGGCAGTCACAGACCACACACAGCATTGCTGGAGTGCGTATGATTATTCAGACTGTAATGAATAAAATGGGAATCATTCAGCATATTTAATGAACAAATAACACAAATTGAACAAAGCAGGAGTGAAAGGAGGTCAAGATACAGTGGATATTATAGCGATTTCTTTCACTCAAATGAGTATGAATAAAGTAGTAAGAATACATTTAAAACACGGAGTGCATAATTTATAGCAGATGAGAAAAACATAAGCAAAAGCACAACGAAGCATGATTTTGCCCAAAACACGATCAGATTTATAAAACTTAGGAGGCAGTCTTTCCATGGCGTTTGAATAAATCGAAATTTTAAAAAAAATAAATTTCTAACATGCAACATGCAACATCGCTGGCCCCCAATAACAGAGTGACTGCAGGCCACCTGACTGTCCTCCACAAACTAAGACACAATGTTTCATTTGCATCAGTCTGGAAAAAGAAAAAAAAAAAGGTCTTTCATCTTTCAGTCCATTTTCCACACTCTCAGAGCTCTGTGAAAGCTGTTGTCCACTGCCCTTCAGCCGAACCACAGCACAGCCTTCCTCTTAGGCTGATCGACAGATCAAAGCATTTCTTTCCTCGCTCAGTGTCGCAGAATTCTGGTGTGTACATAGGAGGTAATCTGTCCCCCTCTCTCTTTCCCTCCTCACTCTCTGTCACTAGCTACCTCACCGAAGCTGCTGGAGAGGAGAGTGTGACCTGTTTCATAACAGAAACCCATAAGCATGCACAAGATGACACAGGCACTGTCGAGCATCGGGTACAAGAAGCCAGTGTCTCTTCAGTAGCGTTCAGACCTCTAACGCCTCCTCATATCTCAAGACAAAAGAGATCACTTGAGGAAAATATCTTCGTGCATGCTTTCCAATCAGGCACACCTATTAACAGATTAAAAACTCACCATATTTTTCTTCTTTTTAGCTATGCTAATGGCATGGCTGTGAGGACACGAATGCCAGTCTGTCCACCACTTTGGTACAGACTAAAATGTCTTAACAGTTGTTGCACTGACTGCCAAGAAACACACTGCAAACATCTATTGTTTGTTAAGGATAACTGTAACTGATTTCTGGTGCTATGAGTTTGAAATTTGTAGGTTTTTATTACAATGTGATTCTCCAAAAATCACAAATGAGTTCATAAGTCATAAGGAATGAATAACATGAAAATAACATATGATCTTTAAGCATTACAGATTTCGCCATAGTTACACATTATCAGCTCCACTTAGGTATCACAGCCAATGGATTCTTTTGTTTTTTTATTTTGGATATTGTACATGTTTTGTATTGTGGTTCCTTGCAACATTTGTCATCACTCTTGTGTCCTTCTGTTATCACCACGTCACCTTTTAATTTGGCCAGTCCTTTGGAAGGCATTCCTAGTTAAAGGGAACAATGTAAAGCACTAGCAGAGTGACAGGTTTTGCCAAGAAGAAATAATTAAGTTAGAGAAAAATCCCTTTCTTGGTTTTAATAAAAGGGGCCATGGGAAATTGTCTTACTGTCAACCAAGCTCACACTTGTTATTAGTTAACAAGTGTGAGCTTAAAGTTAAAGTCCAGAACTTTTGCTGCTTGTCTATGGCATTTCATATTCTTCCATCAGACTGATGCTGTATGCAAGAAAGGATAAAAAACAATAAATAATTATGTGTATTACAAAAAGTGTGTGAGTTTGCTAGATGTTTAAGTAAGCTTGACATTTATACCTGGCTCTTAAAAGGCCCCTGGAGGTTTCATTTAATGAATTTAATGTTTTAATGAAGTTAAAATAGACTGGCTGGCATCTGGGATGGTTTGGAAATAGTAAAAGGAAAAGTGGGGGATATTTATAATTCAGAAAGATGTGTGGGGGAGTGTATAAGAGCTGGAGAAAGAGAAAGAAAATAAGCATATTTAAAGTTACTTTTTCCACTCTGTGCTGGCGAAGGATAATGACTCAGACTTTAGTTTAGATGTATTGTCATTTGCCTATAAGGTTCTGAAAACCATAAAGAATCAGCATCACTTGATTTAAGGTAAGGGTGGGTCTGCAGGAAATTAAGAATAGTTAGTGCACCTAGCCCAGGGGTGGGCATCTCCAGGCCTCGAGGGCCGGTGTCCTGCAGGTTTTAGATGTGTCCTTGATCCAACACAGCTGATTCAAATGGCTAAATTACCTCCTCAACATATCTTGAAGTTCTCCAGAGGCCTGGTAATGAACTAATCATTTGATTCAGGTGTGCTGACCCAGGGTGAGATCTAAAACCTGCAGGACACCAGCCCTCGAGGCCTGGAGTTGCCCACCCCTGACCTAGCCTCACTACTAGCATCATTTCCAGCATGTAGGAACATGAAGGCATGCCATATGGTTGATTCCAACTCCAGGTTACCGTGTCTGATTTGCTGTAATTTAAAATGTATAAGCAAAGTCTCCTTCCTTCATGTTGCTATAAATTAACAATAAACAGATTTTAGATTCCAACTCCAGGTTACCTTGTCTGATTTGCTGTAATTTAAAATGTATAAGCAAAGTCTCCTTCCTTCATGTTGCTATAAATTAACAATAAACAGATTTTAGTGGGAGAAAGTATTAAATCCCACTCACGGTTACAAATCTGCATCTCGCTGCTTAACTTTCCCTTATTCTGGCATGGCACATGATACAAGATCAGCACAAAATGCACAAAAGATAACCTTAAAAACAGACAAGCAAACAAACAAACAAACAAAAAAAGAAAAGCTGTATGAAGAGACACACATAGGATCCATGTAACCATGTGCATGTGCAAGTAGAGAGATGGAAATGGGCCGCTTTTATTAAATTCTGTTAAATTCTCACTTCCTCATGCATGAGGTTATGTGCAGGTGAAAGACTGATAAATATTGGATGTGAATCAACTCTGTTTCCCATATACTGGAGGCGAGGTGGATTCTTCTATTAGTCAAAATAAATAAATAAATAAGCTCTGAAATTGAGTGTTTGTGCTTATGTGAGTGAAGAAGGAGGGGAGCATGTGTGTGGTGTGTGGTGTGGCTACCAGTTGAGTTAGACATGTAACAGTTTGTGCAGTCCCTTTGTGGACGCAAAGGGGGGGAAAGAAAAAGAGTGGCAGCCCTGCGTTGGGCACGCTATCTTTTCCTCACACAGGGTCTCACAGTGGAACACCTGCTCAGGATCTCCTCTGGGCCCATTTTCTAATCGTGCAGGAGGATCACATTCTCATCTTCGTTTTAAGGCAGCACACAGACACAAAAACACACTGCGCTAAAAGCAACATCGCTAAAAGCATGGTTGTGTAATGTAAAGAAGGCACACACACCCTGAGAGAATGACGTAACAACACATCAGCCCACATCTGTGAATGCTATAGTCTGAACAAGTCAAGGTCATTCATGGACTGAATTAAAAACACTGGGCCCTGCTGTGAGGCACCCTCTGAAGCAGAGAGCTGCTTTGTATTCCGAGCTCATGTGGGACTGTAGCGTCCTGTCTGCGCTTGATGCCTGGACACATGAAACACACAGGCACACGTGCTTTCCAGCGAACTGCAGCCTCGCAGATGTGAGGAAGAAGGCAGCATCGTTGATACAGCCTCCTTACTCCCCCTGCGTAGTGCTGCAACAGCTGGATGCGGTTCTGGCTGTTTAAAACACGCACGGCTCTCAGACTGAGTCCCTAATAGGTTTTAAAGGGCTGGACTCGTGCCAAACAGTCTGAGTCTTGTTTTTCCACCCTGCAAAAAAACCGACGTTTTCCCGTGATGCCCTCTGTGATTGACCCAATGACTGGTCGTGATAGGTGATTAGTGCAACGACAGAATCGATTGCCGTGACTGATTAATCGACAGCTGGCTCATTTGCCCACCCCGGAGTGAAGGCTGCCGCCTCATTGCTGTACTGTTTTCTCGATTCTCTGCGGCCAGACAGAAAGGCAGTTTTTGGTTAAACTGAAGTAACAATCAAATAGCAGGATTAAAAAAAAATAAAAAATAGCGGCTAATAAGAGGTGGCAAACTGGGAAAATGTATCAGGGACACTCTGAGTCACGGCAGTCCCATTTTGCCTCTGCATGACTTTGGTTATACAATGATGCTTCATTCACAACATCCAGAAACACTCCGACGCGCCAGGAGCAAACATCTTGCAGCAGGTTTACATTACATAAAACACAGATATGGGGAAATTGCATGAAGCCATCCTAATCACGTAATCAATTTTTGATTACAGGTTCAGTTTTGGGAGATCTTTAATCGATATTTGCCCCAGTGCACGTTCCGAGCTAGACGCGGGACAACCACCAAAAGCAACCACCAAAAGCGCAAAGAGCCTCTCTGCGCATTACAAGGCAGACTGGCTATATCCAGGATAGCGCAGTGGTAATCCATCAAAACGCAAAACTGTCACACCTGGGAACTTCGTGTCGCTCGCACCTGAAGGCTAAAACACCTGCCAAGACTTGCTAAGGGTACTATAACACTGAGATATAAGCCGAGAGCTCCGAGTGTCACTCACCTAACTTTTGCTGCCACAGAAGAAATCGCATCGTTTCTTAAATTCTTCCTCTTGGACACAGCAGTTCCCATGCTGGCATGGAAACGATGCAGGCAGGAAAACAGTTCATTCCAAAGGAAGGAGGAATGCGACGATGAAAACAGTATAAAAATCGCAAGAAAAACAAAAAGTTGCAGGGAAATCCGGGAGCAGATAGGTCACGCACGCGTCTGCAGAGCAAAAAAAGAAGGAAGTCAGTCTTCTCTCTCTCTTTCTCTCTCTTACTCTGTCTGTCTCTCTCCGGATATGAGCATGTACGTGGGGTAGCTGCACAGCTGCCAGAGTGAGGCTGAAAATACCCAAACCTCCCTCTCTCTCTCTCTCTCTCTCTCCCTCCCTCCCTCCCCCTTTCTCTCTCTCTTTCTCATTGATCAAAAAAATGCAATGGGAGGATTGTTGGGTTGGCGATATCACCATCGTCCTCATCGTGCTCACAAAGGTGGAGGCGGGGAGCCGTGTATCTACAACAGTGGTGTCATCCACCTCCACCTCTGGCATTCATCTAATGCTCCTTTTTGGGGACTGTGATCTCTGTATCTTTACTTATTTATTTCCTGGTGTTACATAAACGGTCATTTTGGTGAAAGCCCCATCCACCCCCTCTAACACACACATACACAAACGCTGTAACTGGCTCCTACTCAACCAAAGACAGGATGAGGCACTGCAGCGCTCTGTAAATATTTCTTCAATTAATAATACCACTGGAGCTTTAGCGTGTGCTTTGTTCTATTTCTTCTTATTCTGTTTTTACATTTAGATGACTTTGAAATTCAGCAGTTGAATTGTGTTGACCATTGGACTCGTATATACCCCAAATACTTTATTTATCCCATTTTCGCTAAATTCTTTTGTTACACCAGTTGAAATAATAATAATAATAGTAAAAATAATAATGATAATATTATCTGCCCCCATAGACAACAGCAAAGTACACTGCACTTGCCACAAGTCCTGAAGTCCTGAATGACTGAAAATCTCCATCATTTACTGTAGACATTGATGGATGTCAGCTTGCTTTTTTTGCATACACTTCACTTACTGTGTTGGTCTTCCAGTTCAACGTGGATGCCATACTACCTCACCATATCAACATGCTTTCTCAGGATAGCCGTTGTCTTCCCTCTGAAGACGATCACCATGTCTCTGGTCTCATTCACATTCAGAAGCAGATGATTCCTTCCAGACCACCATCCATCACTAATACATCTAATCTAATACTGCAGAATATTATCATATTTCTGACCTGGAGTTACACTGAAAGTCTGAGGTGTACAGGGTGTAGCTTCTCTCATGATGAATGGAAATATTAGATATAGAATGTATAGATTTGATAATATACCAGCAATTAAGAATCTTACTTTGTTCATATATACTATTGGCCTTTTTGTCACGGTTCTGGGTCAGTTTGACCCAGTATTTTGAGTTGTTATGGTTTGGTTTATTTTTGAATGATGGATTGTTCTTTGTTTCTCTGGTGCTTTGTTGGGTTTTATGATGAATCTGTGTTTCAGTTATTTTGGTGTGTTTTTGCATTATGGATTGTTTTCTTATTCTCTTGTAGTGCTTGTGGTGGTGGTGGTGATGATGATAGATTATTATTAGTTTCATGTTTCTGTTTATCCGTGTTTAAGGATTTGTTGTTTCATGTATTGTTTGAGTTGCATGTGTTGTATTCTGTCTGCGTCTTTGTCTAGTGGGTTCTTGTTTCCTGTTTTATTGTGAAGGTCTGTGTCTCATGTGAGTGTGTTCAGTTCTACTGTTCCCCTGTCTCGTTAGTCCAATTTCTCCCAGCTGTGTCTCCCTCCTGTGTCTCATTCCCCGATTACCTCACTGTCTATATAAGCCCTGTGTGTTCCTGTGCTCTCTGTCGTGTCATACCATCAGATCATGCCTCTGTTTCTGGTTCTCAGTGTTTGTTGTTCTGTTCAGTGCTTTGCCAGCAATAAAGCTGTGGTTTTCTGTTGAAATTTGGCTTCATGAGTCCTGCGTTTGGATCCTCACCTCCGCCTGCCGCACACAGAGCCCTGACACTTTGTCCATCTTTAAGAACTGTCTAAAAAACACAATATTCTAAGATTAAATGTTAACCTGTGATATAATGACATGGCCATGAAGTCAAGGTTTAAGATGCAAAGAGAGAGAAACATACAAAAATCTGTGTCTCACTGATATGCAGATCAACTGAAAATAGATTTGAACTTAGTCTAAATTGTAAAGCACATAGACATAGAGGCAGGGTCTCTGGACAACAACCTCTGTGGAAGACAATTGCACAATCCTGCTATAAACTATAAAACTGTATTGAGATTCCTTTCTGTGAGATGATTGTAGGATGGCAACAGTTCAGTGCAACATAAATCGGATGACAAACAATATAAGACCAACAAGCTGGCATCTCCTCCTGAATGCAATTCTTTTCACAGTAGGTTGCAATATTATATGGGAACCAGGAAATATTTAACAGAGTAGAAAATACCTATCTCACACTATGGCCCTGTGAGTATTTCTTACAGCAGTTTGTCACAGTGTATGCACGCATGCATGCATAGTGTGGGACATGCATACTGTAAATTACGTAAACAGGCAGAGGCACAGGCAGCAGATGAATCACCAAGCAGCCTAACAGCCGATTAGCCTTCAAACATCAACTCAATCAATCTTTCAATCCACGGGCCATTTCGCCAGTAGCTCAGATGTACAGGACGTCCTTGGGCTTTTTATCTATTTGTTGTGGACTTGTCCTGCACACAGCACACGCAACCACTCTCGGGAACAGCACACAGTAAGACAAAAGGAATGAAAATCGATAAATAAAGGAAAGCACCTCTGGGCTTGTGTGAGCTGCTGTAGGCCATTAAGCAGTAAATAATTCCAGGCAGCTCTGACTCTTGGAGCTTATGTGGGAAGACTGCAAATGACCATGAGAGAAAGAGGAGTGAATGAATGAAAA